GTAAGGAAGTAATATTCTGTGTTATGTTATGTATTGCTGTGTTCAGTATCCAAATCAGAATATAAAGTAGTTTTCTGTGTTATGTTTACATGATCTATGTGTTCTGCTAAATTTAACAGACTGTTTCTCTTATATAATTCATTAATACATCTACGTATTATTTTCTTTACATCATGATGTAGGTATCCATCATATTGTGGATCAAACATATGGCCAAGGAATTCGTTACCGGAACTCGAAGGAGGTAACTAGGTGATACATGCTTTAATTTGGATGTTGTTAGTTTTGTTTAATCAGTAATAAGCTTTTGGTGTCTCAACTTTAACACCTTGCTGTTTTTTTTATTACGTATCAATGATCACATATATTGCACAAGTTTGAGAATTTCTGGTACTGCTCGTGTTTGCAACCTTAGCTTGTTTTCATTGATGCTCGCTTTTGTTTTTTTCATCTTTCCTCCAATTAAATGTGTGTTCTTTTTCATTACATAACAGCTTTCAAAGCTCTTGGTAGTCTGATGTTCAAAGTTGGGCTTATGGTAGCTTACCACTGTGATCAATATGGTAAGTACTTTTATTGGGGATATTGAATCTATACTTAACATCATTGAATACATGTACTCGCGACATTGAATCTTCAATTGCAAAGATTTTCTTGGAATTGAGCGGAAAGCTGAAGCTCTCTTATGAATTTCAATCCAAGAAGCAGAAATTTTCACTGAAGTATTATTCCGGAAAACAGGATCATTATGTGACTATGCCTGTAGAGTAGCCTAGTTGACTTCTTACTTGTGAAATGACGAATATTTAATATAAGTGGGTGAATATAATTTCTGAAACCAGTCTATTTTCTGGATGCTGGCATGGTCTTTATATTGTGCATTAGCATGACTCTGGTCCTAAATTTTTCCATGGTACTAGTAATTGTCTTGATTACATCATTGTCTATTTTCTGAATCTCTTTACAATCCATGATCTGCAGTGTCAAAGGGTATAAAACAACATGAAAATCAAAATCTTGAAAAGATACTACTTGACTCTCGTTGTCACAAAGGACGTCTGCTTTATTATTTTCCTGCCCAAGAAAGGTAAAATTAGATGCCGGCCCTTCACAAGCTCTTACTCTGCTGATTTACATTTGTGATTCAGTCCCTTAGCGGTTAATACTTGTTGAACTCATGCTATCTATGCCGAAAATTCATCTGGGCGAAAAAAGTACTTCATTGTCTGATATATTGACATATTGTCTTCCATTCAGCACGATGCATGACAAAGATTCCATCTCATCTTGGTGCGGATGGCATTCGGACCATGGTTCACTCACAGGTATCAGATTTTCTTCTCTCTTGCTTTTCTGAGTTGTTCATGTTTGCCTAAGTTTAGTTGGCTCCTTTTTTTAAAGGCGGTTTGCTAGATATAACTGTATAAGCATACTTATCTTCCTCTCTGTATAGATGATATGCATATATGTTCCTCATTTGTGATGTGCTATTAAAGTGTATCCTTCTATGAATATCCACAGGTCTTACTCGTGCAATATTTTCTAGAGATTCAGTTGAAGTACCTTGCCCAGATCCTGCCTCTGGCTTATACATACAAACACGGTCAGGTCAGATTGTAAAGGTAAAGTATACTGGTCTTTCCTGAAGACTGTGCATAGTTCAGTGGAGCCTATTTGATATCTAATGGCGAAACAGAATTTGTTCTGTCATGAATATGAGCTACACACTTTGCTTAGTTGTTATGCTTCCTTTACATTTGAAGGTTGTGTATGGGGAAGATGAAATAGCATACCAAATAGGCGAGACGACAGCAATTCTGTCAAGGGGATATCTTTGTGCTACACCTCATTGTGTACGGGTAAATATTTCTTGTAAATATTTCTTTGTGCCTTTGCGGATATGGCTCCTGGAATAAAGAAACATATCTGTTCAGCATAGATAGTTCCTTCCAATTGTATTAAGCCTCAGATCTCTCTCTCTCTCTCTCTGTACACCAAAATGAACCCATAGTTTCTTATTTGTGTTCAGGCGCCACAAGGAGAAGAGGCTCGTGGTCTAGAGCGATCGACATTTGCATTGTTCATGCAACCCGACTGGTATGATTCTGAACTAAGATAACTTTGGATTGATTTAGCATTGGAAACATCTTCTTGTTGGTACAAAAGTTGATAACAACAAGAAAATGTGAATGTGATGTTTTGTAGGAATCAGAAGCTAACATTCCCAAAGGAAGTTACAATCCATGAAGAGTTATCTCTCTCTGATAAAGTCTTGACGTTTGGAGAATATACAGAGAAACTTCTCAACAAATACTACGATACAAAACCATAGGACCTTCTCTTTTAATATCACTCTGTAAATGACGATTCCATTGGTGTAAGTTACTGTATAAAAAGAACAACAAAAAGTCTCACCAAAGTTAGTATGTTAGGTTGTTTAGAAGTGATTTGATTTGTCTTAGTTTGAACTTTGAACCATATAAACTTTACAGAAAGTACAAAAACTGGTTTGGATTGTGTTACTATGAACGCGTTTGGTTCAATGTTATAGAAGAACATACCAAATTACCAATACTACAATGAATCTAGGGGAAAAAAACAAAGAACACATGTCCGAACGTAAAGGTAAAGCCAAAATGTATTGAGTTCAAATCGTTCATGTGTACTAAATGAAGCATTCGGTACCGGTTCGGGTTATTCGGGTTAAGAGGTATAGCCGTATAGGATTCGTTCGGATATTTCTTATCTTTGATTGGGTTCAAATATCTAAAATATTAGAAATTTTTTAAAATGTTGGTTAGATTTAAAAAAAAAACATTTACTTTTTTATAAACTTAAAATTAACAAATATTTTGGATATTCTAATTTTTTTTTAATCTAAAACGTTTGATATTTTTGAATTTATAATTGTAGTATTGGATAATTGGGTTATCTAATTTCTAAGGATAATTAATATTTTGTATAAGTAATTATATTTCGGGTTCTCAATTCAAATTTCATTTGTACGGTTTAGAAGTTTAGAACTCGTTCGAATTTCTTTTAGTCTTCGGTTTGGATTCGATTTGGAAATTTTTAAGTCGGGTTTAGTTCGGATTTTTCGAATTCGAGTATTTTGACCCGCCACTATATTAATCCTTTATTCGAATCCGATATAAGTCCATCTTTTGTTAACACTTTTTGCTTCTGCAAATTGTGATCTCTATATACTCCATTAACTAAGGTCGGTTAAAAGTTTTGGAATCTGGTTAGGTTGGTCAAACTAACTCTACGATGGTCCATCATCAAACCGAGACGTCGCTTTAGAGTCCTCATGGACGAATGGATAAGGTAAGCAAAAACAAAATTTGAGTACTTCATTCAGACAATGAGACAATAGTTAGGAGACGTGGCTGTCTTATGTTTGAAGAGGTCCACACTGTTATATAGTACAATAAAAGAGTTTTGCAAGTAGTTAATATATCTTTACACGGCTACACGCTTTTAAACTCTCTAGTGGCCTTTCGCAGTTCCAATAGTGTACTTGTCAGCATCTTCTTTTCTAATTCGATTCTATCACTTGGCCAATAAGGAGACCATACCCATAAAAAGTTGTAAAGAAAAATATAATGAATATGTCGTTGTGGTACCAAACAGTTATGGGAAGATCTAATGCCATGCACTAAAAGAGATAGAGAGCTCGGTATATAATCCGAATCTGAAAAATCCGATCAAAAAATCTATATTATGAACCGGTTTTGGTTATTTAAATAAATTCCAATCGGCTATAATTGCAACCGTATTTCTGCTAAATCGTAACACTATACATACATGTTATCAATTTTATGTTTAATTTAGAATATACCTTTTCATTCCAAATTATATTTATTTATCCGTATTTGGAATGAAATAGTATATTTGGATTTGTTCGGATAATTCAAATCCAAATCCATATTATTAATTTTATGCTTAATTCGGATTGGGTAAATACGGATAATTCTGATTTGTTTGGACACTTTGGATTTCTGATAAAAAAAATTAAGTTTATTTGGGATGAAATAGTATATTTGGATTTGTTCGGATAATTCAAATCCAAATCCATATTATTATTTTTATGCTTAATTCGGATTGGGTAAATACGGATAATTCGGATTTGTTTGGACACTTCAGATTTCTGATAAAATTTTTTTATAAACCAATGCAAATTACCTGACAGATTTGAATTCAAAAGATGAACTATTCGATCCAATTCGAACTCCCCAACTCTCAAGTAAAGAAGAAAAAGAGTACGAGAATGATTTTTGATGGAACAAAATAAATTAGGAAAAGACAATTGTTATACGTATATTATATGGTCCAGTGTCTGCGCTCCCATATGGTAGAAGAGTCAAATAAGTATGTTAAGATTCCAGAACCTTTTAATAGATGCATATAAGATTGGATCCACTACTCTTACAGAATCCAAATACAAAAATTTATAATCTAAAATCTATAATTCCAAAACAGCTTAAAATCTCTCAAACATTCATGGCCTGAATTTTATGAAAAAACAATAATATATTTCGTATATAACGTATATTTACTAGTTTAAATATTAAAAAAAAATTTCAATATCCAAAACTTTTATTATCTATTTGATATTGTGGGTATGTTTGGATATTTATCCGAGTTCGGATTTGGATCGAGTACGAAATCGGTTTATCGGGTTCGAATATTATACCGACACCTATTTAATTCAATAAAAAGATATATCACAATTACAAATAGAAAGATATCACAATTTTTTTTTAAGAAAAAAAAAAAGAAAAAAGAAAAAATCACAAACAGAAAGATATCAAATTACAAAAAGAAAAAATTGGATATATTTGTATAAAGATTAGAAAGGGCAATAACATAAAAACCAACAAATAGAAAACGTGTAAAAGATAAAGATAAAAAAAAAAGATGAGATTCGTAGAAAGAAACTACTAAAGCGTTACGTCCATAGGACCACGTAGCAGCCGCGTCCTCTTCTCCTATAAATAACTCTCACGACGTCACTCATCATCTTAACTCTTAAGTCTCTTTTCACACCATCCACCATTAGAACCGATCTTGCTCTATCTCTCTTTCTCAGACACACATATATGTCCACTTCTTGTCCTCAGACTAAACCGAACCGGATCAAAACCAGCTTCGGAGATCGGTGTTTACTCATGGCTAAGCAGCAAAGAACTAGGCTTTATATACTTCGACGTTGTGTTTCTATGTTGCTTTGTTGGCACGACCACTCTATTCATGATTAGAGGAAGGAAAGAGACAATCTTTGTCGGAAGCATGAACCGGAACTGACCAAGAAGTAGATAGATATCAGAAGAAGAATGTTTTTGTGGTTTAGTAGAGTTTGTGGTTCTTTTTTTAACTTTGAGAACTCTTTGGGGAATCTTTGTAATTTGAGAAAGATTCTAATGAATGGGCCTTTTGGGCTTTTGTGTACAACTGTGAAATAGCATATGATCCTTTTTATTTTGGGTACTCAATGGCCATAGTTATATGTCATCATTTTACTAGTAGTAGTGAATTACTGCTAGTGGTGTTATTTACTTTTTTTTTTTTCAACATTGGGCCACAACTTGCAGGCCCGTTAGTGTAATCCCTACAAATATATAGGAAGCATGACTCGATCCCTAGTGTGATAGTGCATGTCCATCAGTGGACTTATCATTTGCCACTAGACTAAGGTCATTTCATGATGTTATTTACATTTTTGCAACACTTTTTGAAAAAACCTTGAAGTTGGAAGTTAATTACAAGGCTATGCCATTGACATTATTTATTTAGTCAAATTTCTAAAAACTAATAATTATTATTTTTTAACAAAATCCCTAAAAATCTTCCTAATAAATATAATATCATTTCTTATTTTCCACATTTTCTCAAATATTTTTCCAAAGTCTTTATATGATCTTATTTGTTTTTAATTTATTTTATTACATCAAACATATGTATCGTAAAAATACAATTTTTCCACATATATAGTAATTTGAATTTTTTTAAACTAATGTATATTACAAATTTTTTTGGGGGAATTTCAAAAATACCCCTTTTCAAATACCACTTTTTATAAGTACCCCTCTTTTTAATTTTATCAAAAAATCACTATAAATTTTGAAATTTATCAAAAATCTATGTGTAAGCTTATATTTAAAGACACAAATTATCTTTATATGTGTGTAAATTTACATATATATTTCATAAATACCGTATACATACCTTTTAAAAATCATTTAAAAACCTTATAAAAACCTTGTAAACCTTTTAAAACCTTATAAAAATCTTATAAATGCCGTTTATAACCTTTTAAAACCTTATAAATATTTGGATTTAGTCTCCCAGTAGTAGTGATGATCTTGATGTACCTTATCAACCATATAAAAGTTTATAATTTTTCATATTTAAAAAGAGGTATTTTTGAAAATGGATAGAAAAGAGGGGTATTTTTAAAAAGGGGTAGACCAAAAAGGGCATTTTTCAAAAATTCTCAATTTTTTTAGCATATATACAACATCCAATATCGATTATATTTTTTTGATAATGGTTCAAGACCTTTATAAATAAAATTATAACCTTCCAACTACGAATGACAAGACTATAAACATGGGTTTATTTTTTTGGGGAATATATGACGGGACGGGTTGTAAGACGGGAATGATTGTAAACTATTTATAAAGTTTAAAATATTTAAAATATTGAAAATTTTTAAAATCTTCAGTGTTATCAATATTTTAGCTCTACACCAAATTTATACTAAAATATTATTGACTTTGCCATTCTTTTAAATATGGATTTACTTTTTGGTGATTATGACATGACGGGTATAACACGAGAAATGTTGTAATATGCAACCAACATATTATATGACGTGAGATTGTAAGACGGAACGAGTTTAAGTTGATATTACTAAAAGAATCTAATATTATTAATGTCACAGTTCAATACATGTCATTTTACATATAAAACATGTATAATGAAACTGGTTTAGTAAAGTTTGATATTATGCAATCTTTATAATTATTAAATAAATTCCAACAAAACCTATCAATTTTTAAAAACATGAATTACAAAGAAAATATTTATCGCGCGGTGTACCGCGGTTTAAAATCTAGTTCTTAATAAAATATCAAATTTTTTTGCCTTTTTGGTATCGATTTAGCATTGTTAAGACTTAGGGCTTGATTAGTTTAAATGCATCGGTTAGTTGCGGTTGCAGGAGCTTGCGGACGCTGGCGATTGTGGTTTCAAGCGGTATTAAGCGTTTGAACGATTGGTTTAGCGTTTAAAAACATGTGCATTTTCGGAAGCTTTATGACTGGTTAGCCAGCGGGGGTAGTAGCAATTAAATCAGAAATCTCATTTTTGTTTTTGTTTTGGCAATGTTACATTTATAGGTCTTGCTTGACGTGATAGGCTGATAACTATAGTTCCTAAATCATAGAAATCCATATAGGCATAACCAAAAGCTAAACTTAACCGTATTACTAACCGTAACCGGACCGTTTATAAACCCTAACCGTACAAAACGGTTAAGAAACGTAATTATTAGCCGTACAAGTAAATTAATTACGGTTTAAAAAAATACTAACCGTAACCATTAATTAACCGTAACCGTAATAAACCGCCGGTTAACCATACCGTTAAACGTTTGGTTAACCGCACATTTAAAGCCTTAATTTTCACCTTATTAAAAGCAACACGACAAATTGAATTTGTAAGGTAATCAAAACATTTCATACTAAACTATTTTTACTCATATTTTTGTGTGTATTTGATGTTGAGTTTCTCAGTTTCGATCCAATAGCCAGACTTAACTAATTCACTGCAAATATTTGAAATCACATATTTTTTTTACCTGTAAAATAAATAGTATTTCATAAGTTTTTGTCTCCAATATTAATATTATAATAATCATCAAATAACTGTAACTGTGTTTAACCGTAACCGTATATACCCGTAACCGTCTTAACCGTATATATAATGGTTAAGATTATTCTTAAAGAAAATTATAATCGTTAACTGGTGGTTAATTAACCATAACCTCATTAACCGTAACTCTGGTCATGCCTAAATCCATAACCAGAGGACGCTCTATATATCATGCTTATTTATAAGATGTTTAAGGTCTGAGCTGTAAAACTAACCAAAAGATCTAATTTTAAAAATGACCACAACTTATACTATAACTTGGAATTGATTCAATTATATTTTATGTTCAAAACGAGTTATACTTTTCAATTATGATTGAAATTTTACTAATCGGAATTATAGTATGTCCGTGATTTAATTTTAATACATGATGATTATTTTTAAAAGTACATTATATATCTATACATGTTTTCACATTTCATACGTATACTCGAATCATAAAACAAAGCCTAAGAAATTGCTTGTATGATCCCACATTCAATTATACTATCCAAGGGTTTGGATGAGAATTCATTGAAATGGGTGGTTATAAGATCACGTATTTGAAAACTTAATTAGTCAGGAAACTGGTGATAATATCATCCGCATTGGGAAAGGTAAAAGAATCAAGAAGTCTTAAATATATATACTATGTTCGTTTCATAATCACAAGCGGCTGCGATAGCGATTTTAAAATTGTGAGATGTTGTTCATTTAGTAATCACGCGATTAATCGTGATTAAAAAAGCCGCGTCGCTGTTTTCCGTCAATTAAAAATCTTAGACGTAGCAACAGTTAATCGCAACATTTAGTCGTATGGCCATGCTACTGTCAAACAAACAACTTTCACTCGCAATCACAATCACATGCCTCATGCGACTGTAAGACGAACATCCCAATACTATGATATCCTATGTGTGTTTTTATTGTTTCTTGATAACAACAATCTATCATTTCAAATGAAATGGAGAAAATGAATTGAATTGGATGAACGATCTCAAAAATGTCTCCCCATTAAAGATGGTTCACGGCTCTACATATTGGATAGAGCTTATATTAGGAATCAGAGAGAGCATCATGCATAATAGACTAATCTTCTGTTTAGGAGTGAGGAGGCATAACTTTTAGACCTTATAAGAATATATATATGTTTATAATATGTAATAAAGTTACTTTTCTCTTATCCATTAAAATTGTTAACATAAAAATGATATTATTGGATGCATTTTAAAATTAAAGCTAATACTAATAAGAGAGAAACTAAAAAAAACTATTATTTTTCTCTAATATATAATAAAATAATAAAGTATCACTAAGTAGATATAGTCCATTATCATGCAAGTTTCTCATGGTTCCCACCAAAAAAAAAATGCAAGTTTCTCATGGTCGATACTAGTTTTGACTAATGTTCTATCACGAAATACAACATGCGTTAGGATTTTCATCACTAAACATCATATATCTTTCATCAGCAGTACTTGGGTTTATATAAACACCTCTTAAATGTTCTTCGTCCCTTTTCTTTTTCTCCATTTTTTGTATCCTTTTACGCATCCTTTTCTTAAGTTTCTTCAATAATTTCTCCTTATCAAAGTCGCCAGTGATTACAATTTTTTGGTTTACTATATCGACATCACATGTTTTGACACCTATTCATACAAAAGAAATGATTATAGACCACATTTTGTTATATTCTTATCTCATTATTTTGAATAAAAGTAGATTTATTATTTACCTTCAAATTTAGAAATTACTTTTCCGACATCTTTCTCGAGCTTATCACATAGAAATGTCAAATGGATTTCGACTTCTTTTGTACTACAAAAAAAATGAATAATTAGGACACATGTACGCCCTAAAAAAGTAGTTTTGTTGCAACTTTCATAATTAATGGAAATGGTTGATTAGTAAAAAGTGATAATACACCTTGTTTGAGCTGTATCAATTTGTTCTTCTACTTCAGGATTCTCATTATTTTCTGTAATTGTCTCATGTTCATCATTTTCTTCTTGGATTTCTTCATCTTCTTCGAGTTCTTCATCTTCTTGGACTCCATCGTCTTCTTGCTCATTCACCATCAAGACTTTTGCATTTTTACGAGTTTTTTTCTTGAGTGTTTTCAATAGCTTCTCCAAATTAAATGTACCAGTGACCATGACTTTTTGATTAGCCATATCCGTTGTACATGCTTCAACTCCTAGCAATCACATATCATTTAAAGTTATTATTATAACATGATTACTGTATCATCCTTAATAATATATATAATGGGTTCAAAACATTACGAAATAGCCAATGCATTATGGCCACTTTTCTTCATGATATTTTATTTAGCAAAACATGATTGTTTTGAAATTAAATCATAACGATAGTATTAAATTATCTATTACACCAAAATATAGAAAATACTAAGTATTTATAAAAAAATATAGTTCAATGCAGAAACCCTAAGGTCTAATTTGTACCACAAATAAGAATCTATTTGCTTGCCTTGGAATTTGCAAATAGCTCTTTTGACATCTCTTGCACATTTACCACAATGCATCCCAATCTGCAACTCGACTTCGATTGAATTGCTGAATATATGTTCAAAAGAGAAAATAATTGTAACATCGTAATAACATATAAAAGACACAACTCTTATTTAATTTACATATATATGTATATGAGGAATATATATTATGTTTACTCAACGTTTCTGGAATAGTTCGTCGTGACCGCTTTGGCAAACAACCCATGGATATCTCAATAAGAGAAGAATGTTTTAGACACACAATGATAAAAATTTTCATCAAATTACAAATAGAGGACTTATATAGAAAATATTTTCCATAATAATGTGTCAAAATATACATATATTTATTTTAATTTATTTTTGGTATCTAAACAATTTAATCATAATTTTAGGGAAATGAATAACTATGTTGCTTTCTTATCAATTTCCTTAAAAGTTTTTATTTTTTGACCCAAAAATTTCCCATTTCATTTATATTTTTTTAATAAAAATCTTATAATATTTAATTTTGATGGTGTTCTTAAGTTAAGAAAAATTAATTTTTATCTATAAATTTTTCATAATCATTAAGCCCATGTCAGCTTTATCAACTATTTGACATGTGTAAAAATAAGACTAGATATAGGAATTGAAAAAATAATAATTAAGAAGCTATATATGAAAGATTTCTTTGATTGAAAAGGTTCTTTCAACAAGTATACAATTTAATTAACTATGAGAAAAGTGTGGTCGGGATTCACAACTCGTGAATGTAACTATGAATCACATATATGAAAACTCAGTTAGTAGGAAACTGAAGATAATATCATCTGAATTGGGAAATGGTGATAACTAAGAAGTTTTAAATATATATACTATGATTATGATTCTTGTACCATTCCAAATGAAATGGATAGCAAAACGAGAATTGGATGGTTCACGACTTTACATATCAGGGTAGACTATGATATGAAATAGGGGGAGAGAGAATCATGCGTAATAGACTATTCTTCTATTTATGAGTGTAATGGAAGCATAGCTTTTTTGGACCTTATAAAATTTTTTTCTCTTAACCATAAAATTTTATGTAATAAAAATTTTTTTCTCTTAACCATAATTTTTTCTGTAATAAAATTATTTTTTCTCTTAACCATAAAATTTTTAACATAAAATGATATTAATTGGGTGCAGTTAAAAGATAAAGCTTATACTAAAAAGAGAAACTGAAACCAAACTATTATTTTTTCTCCATTATATAGTAAAATAACCAAGTATCATCAAATAGATATAGTATGTTATCATGCCAAGTTTTTTATGGTTGGTATTAGTTTCGACTATGTTATATTATAAAATAGAACATGTGTTAGGATTTTCATCACTAAACATCATATATATGGCCATCTCTTTTTCATCAGCACTACTAGGGTTCATATAAATACCCCTATCTATATCAGTTTCTTCATATTTATTTAAAGGTTCTTCGTCCTTTTCTTCTTCTCCATTTTTTTAATCCTTTTACGCATTTTTTTCTTTAGTTTCTTCAATAATTTCTCCTTATGAAAGTCGCCAGTGATTACAATTTTTTGGTTTAGTATATCGACATCACATTTTTTTACACCTATTCATACATCATCCAAAAGAAATGATTATAGAACACATCTTGTTGTATTTAGTATCTCATTAATTTAGAGTAAAAAGATTTAGTATTTACCTTCAAATTTAGAAATAACTTTTCCGATATCTTCCTCGAACTTCTCACAAAGAAATGCCATATGGATTTCAACTTCTGTTGTACTACCAAAAAAAAAAATTATAACAGATGTAATATCTTAAACAAATATCCTTAAACCAACAAAGAAAACCCTAAAAAAATAGTTTTGTTGCAAGTTTCATAGTTAATGAAAATTGTTGATTAGTAAGAAGTGATAATACACCTTGTTTGAGGTGTATCAATTGTCTCTTCTACGTCAGGATTCTCATTATTCTCTGTAATTGCCCCATCATATTCATCATTTTCTTCTTGGACTACTTCATCTTCTTGGACTACTTCATCTTCTTGCACTACTTCATCTTCATGGACTACTTCATCTTCCTGGGCTACTTCATTTTCCTGGGCTACTTCATGTCCATCATCTTCTTTCTCATTCACCATCAAGATTTCTGCCTTTTTACGAGTTCGTTTCTTGAGAGTTTTCAATAGCTTATCCACATTAAAATTACCAGTGATCATAACTTTTTGAGTAGCCATATCTATTGTATATGATTTAACTCCTAGCAATCACAGACCAATTAAATTTATTATTGCTATAATATCCTTGATAATATATGTGATCCAAAGCATTGTGGCCATTTTTCATTATGATATTCCATTCCCCCCACTATAACTCCACAATCATTTTTTAAAAAATCTTTTAATATGTAATATGTAAATCATTAAAAAGATTCAGAAAAAGTGATGTAAGCCTAATGATAGCTTTAAATTATCAATTTCACTAAAATATAAAAAAGGTGAGTATTTTTTTATAAAAAAATATTATTCAATGCAAAATCCAAAGGTGTAATTTTTATCACAAATAAGATCTATATAGTATCAGGAGTATGAACTATAATATAATATATATATATATAATTTGCTTGCCTTTAAATTTGCAAATAGCTCTTTTGACTTCTTTTACACATTTCTCACAACGCATCCCAATCTTCAACTCGATTTCAATTGAATTGCTGAATATATTTTCAAAAGAGAAATGAATGTAGCATCGTAAGAACATATAAAAGACACAACTCTTATTTAATTTACAAATATATATGAAGAATATAAATATATGTATATATATATATATATCTTATGTTACTCAACTTTTTTGGAATATTTCGTCGTGACAGCTTTGACAAACAATAATAGAGGACTTATATATAAAAAAAATTCCT